AAAGCTGCAAAATTGGAAAAAAAAAAAAAGGTTTTCCTTAGCAACGACTTAATAAGTCTTATAGAGAAAAGAAAGAAATACAGGCTACCAAATGCTTTATCATTTCACCAAAGAACTGATGTCGTTTAAAGCATCAACTACGGAGTGCTCCTGAATGTCATTTATAGATGCGATGGAGGAAGAAAAATGGATTTCCGCCCTGAAGGAAGTCACATTCTTTCTGAAGGCAGATTTGATGGGAAAGAAGGGCCGAGTCTCAATTTCTTTCGCTTTGCAGACATTGGGCCCTTTCCTGGCCTCTCATCTGGAGGCAAAAGGTTACCTAGAGCTCACGTGACAGAACGCTGGGTGTTTCCAGGGACTGCGACATAGAGAGGAGGAGTCAGAGGGAAGGCTGCCCCTCGGCTTGGCCACAGGCTCTCATTTGGCCCCCAGAGGCTGTGTGGGGACAGGACTTCTCTCCTCACAGAGGAGGAACCTGAGCCTCAGGGAGGTGGGGAACCTGAGCCTCAGGGAGGTGTGCTGATCGTAAAACAGGGCAATGATGCCACCTAGCTCCTGGGAGGGACGCCAGGGCTAGGTGAGGTCACACACAAAGAAACACTTAACCGTGCCTGGCAACACACACACTCAAGAAATGTTCCCTCTGACTCTTGGTAACTTACCCGAGGCCACAGACACAGAGAAGGGCACAACCAGGGTTCATTTACGTCCCGTCAGTCCAATTCCAATGTCTGCGCTTTCCCCACAGGGCTGCAGGTGCCTCTGGGGATTCAGATGTCTTCGCCTTCCTCTTCCCCGTCTCTCCTGTTCGTGTACCTGTCTCCGGCCCTTTTCAAGTCCACCCAGAGAGCCTTTTCTTTCTGGGCATTTAGACTCAGCGTTGACAGCTTCCTGGCCTTCCGGTATAAGCAGAGGAGGGCAACGAGCAGCAGAATGAACATAATGAAGGGGCAGATGAATATGAAATAGACCAAAGGTGCCGACGAGCAGATCCTGGAAGGAAACGTGGGCTCTACGACGGAAAGGAGAAAAACAGAATAATTCATCTCTGACTTATTTGTACGAATCAATTATAAACACCTCTGAAATTTATTGTTCCAGGCGAACCTATGTAAAAATAATGGGGCCAAATAGCAGCCAGCCCCTTAAATCCGACGTGAGGAGCGAAGGGAAGAGCTGCTGGAGACGAAAACTCCAGAAATGCTGCTCATGCACCCTAACGCCCCCTCGCCCAGCAATTTCCAGCCACCGGAGGTTCCAATGACCTACTTAAAACTAACAGCCAGAGAGAAAAACAAAAAAGAAAACCTCTCCTTTAATCTTCGTTCCTCAGAAAAGATATCTATAATTCAACCCTTGTTCTCAACTCTGCTGCCGGTCCTGCATTTTTAACGGAGTTATTCCCACTGCTGCTTCTTAAACACACACACGCACACGCACACGCACACGCGCGCGCTGCACCGTCCTGATAAAACAGCACCCCTCCTGACTCTTTGAGCCCAGTCACCCTCCATTAGGCTCCTTCTCTCTGTTCTTACCGCTGCCTCCCCCTGGCACGCTCTCTGCACCCTAATATTCTAGGTCTTTCTGGCCCAGCTCAGATCACACTTCCACCGCCAGGTGGTCTGACCTCACCTCAGGCACAGTTCTTCTCTTCTATCCTCCTCTTACACACCTCTCTCATTCCCCTCTAACCGTCTCCTTTGTTCCGTCACAGTTACTTGAGTATGTCCGATGGTGCCATTTGTCTCTATATCCCCTACAGTGCCTAGCATATGTGCTTCATAACTTTTGCTGATCTGAATTAAATCAGATCGACTTGGGCAGAAGATACTATATGAAGGCTTGCTGAAGATACCCCATCAGCAGCTGCAGTCCACAGGGAAGCGCACGCACACACAGCCCCAAAGTGGGTCCTGGCCACACAGCCAGGAAAGCAAAGGAGAGGGACCGGAACTGTCACAGGCTCCAGGAAACAGCGCCCTAAGTTACCAGTCCAAGGACAGGGTGTATAGTCCCTGAATGCAGAAAGACACATGCTTAAGGAGACACCAACTACAAAATGTAGTCTTCCAACTACACTTACTTATGATAGCATCTTTGACATCAGAGCTATTCCAAACATTCCGATGCTGTGCTTTCACTGGGAAATTGTAATAGCATAAGCAATTTCTTCTTTAGAGGTTAAGCTATAGGATTCATGGGATTATAGACTCTTGGAGACGAAAACAACAGGTTTCGAGGTCATTTCGATCAACCTCATGCTGCAAGGGCTCCCCTTCGGGCATTACCTTGAAGAACATCTCTTTGTTGGAAGTTAAGAAAGAATCTAAACCTCGGTGCAGCTCCTGCCTTGTGAACTCCTGGAGGACAGGTCCTATGTCTTATGCATTTTTAAAATTTTATGCAGCAATTTGTCCACAGGTCATCAATGGAGAGTGATGAATGAATCGATTGCACAAGTGAATTCCACACGCAGGAACCGATGGGTGGCTGCCATCTTGTGACACAGAATAATGACGATCCCTGAACACGAGGGCTGGCAGCTCTGAACAGGGCTGGTGGCAAGGAGTCTGTCACCTGGATTTTCTCCGGTCTCATTTATATTCTCCAACTTAAATTTGGTTTTTGAAAGAGTGGGCGATGATAAAGCTAGATTTTGAGGTTCTTTTTCACCCTCTCTCCACATCTTAACCTGACCCTTTTCTCCAAGGCCGTTCAACTACAATAATTCTCCCAGGTCTGATCTGAATATATTTGAAGGCATGAGGTTAGGGAGGTGTAGACAGCAATGCCGAGAGGATGGGGCTGAGGAGACCAGGGGCTAAGAGAACTGACCTTGATACTTCACACTACTCATGCCCAGAGTAGTGACTGAGCACCTACTGCATCTCTGCAAGAGCTGGGTTCAAATCCTGGTTCTTCTCCTTACCATGTTGACATTAGACAAGTTACTTATTCTCGCTAATCATTAGTTTCCTCATCAATCAAATGAGGATAATAATTTCTAGAGTCATGATGAGATAATGCATAATAAAGCATTTAATATAGTGCCTAGCGCATTTGTTGAGTCAGCAAAGAATAAATATTAGCTAGAATGCTACTGAGAAAATTAGGAAAGTCACAGGCAACTTCCTCCTGAGAGACTGGGCAGAAAACAGCCAGACTTGCTCATCTGTCCCACAGGGGCCGCAGGCTTGGCCATGTTCTTCCATGGGCCAAGTCTCCCCCTTAAATCTCTGAGCCCCCTGCTCGCAGGGTTGGGTAACATTCAGCTGAGAGTCAAATGATTACTTAGAAGACTCTGCTTCCTTATCTACTCGTGGGAGGTGAGAGTCCATAGCACTCACGTATCCCCTTTGCTAGGATGGTGGAATGATGATGGGGACGTGAGCTGCATGTAGAAGGTGGAAAGAACTTCTCTGCCACTGAGACGCTAACCGTCAGCATGAAGGGACAGCCAGAGGGCTTGACTATCTTAATGGGAAGGAGGATGCTCTGCTTAGAGCAATGTGCCATCTAAGCATGGCAAAATGTGCCCTTCGCAGTGCTGAATTGGCCAACAGCTAGCAACTGCCGGCTCCAGCACTTCTAAACTGTCTTATTGGAAGGACACGTTTGCTCTGAGTCCCATGGTCACCATTTCCCACCATCTGCCTCTCACCCATATCTGGATTAGAATTAGTGACATTCAAATCCACTAAGATTTGACATTTTGAATTAATCTGAGTAAGCGCCCAAAGCCCAAAGTACAAGACCTGCAAGACAGAGCCAAAAATGTAATGAGAACACTTCATCACGAGGTTTAGTTCATAACCCGTTTCCACCCACAGCCAAACACATCACAAGGAACATTCCTTTATGATATCACCTCAGAAATACTGACTTGAGAGACCAAAAGTACCAGATAATCAGGAGGCTACAACTCCTCCCCAACCCCAACCCAAACTTGGGCAACTGACTGACTATGCCATGTGTGGCTCTGTGGGAGAATCGGCTCCCGCCAAGAAATAAAAGTAGTTCACGTCACCTGACACAAATGTGTCCCGGAATAAGTGAACCCCTGCAGCATCCTGTTTCTGCCCAATTGAAGACTCACTTTCTCATCTTTCATCAAGCATTTGCTGAATGCCATGTGCCAGGCTCGTTGGAGGCACTGGGGTAGCAGGGACAAATGGCATGGTCTCTCAGAAATTTCAGTGTGGTAGGAACACATATCTCCTTTGAGGATCCACTTCCTAAATATATCCTTACCCAAATAAAAGCTGGGAAATAGTAACAAATACCATACTACTACATAGGACCCAGTCCCCCAGAAAGTTCTATAGTCTCGCCTATTAATTAATCACAGAGGATTTTCTAGAATAAGACATTTATGTCTGGGGTCTGAAGGTGAGGCTAAGAGACTCAGGTAGCCGGCTTTTCCCCTTCTAGAATGTGAACGCACTCAGGTCCCTACCATCTTCCAGCCAACACTGAACAGAGCAAGTTTCACTGCCACCTCTTGCCACTCCTTACGGCCATCTCTTTCTCTTTACACCAAAGCTCTGAAAGTGTAATCTGTATTTGATGTGTCCACTTTCTCATGCAGTCTGACTTCTCCCATTACTTTTCGGTAATTTCCCTATATCGTTAAATCCAGTGGATATGTTTCTATGCTTATTTCAATTGACCTCTTGCAACAACTAGTTGAGTCTGTCGGCTCTCCCCGCCCTCTCGATCCCCTCTGTACCTTTGGTTTCTGTGCTACCAACAAACCCTGGTTCTCCTTGGTGCCTCCATCATTCTCCTTCACAGGTTGCTGTTCTGTACTCTCCTGATAAACAAACAAACGGTAGGGAACCTCAGGGGGCCATCCCTGGGCATCATCAAGTTCACCTTCCTCAGCTCTATCACCTACAGTTCTGGCAAAGATGTCGTCTGGAAGGCCCGGTGTTTACTGTATAGATCTCCCTGATAACTTATTGGTCCTCCGGACTCAATTCCAGCCCAACTTATTCAGAATTGAACTAATCTCCCGCTTCCGACCTTTCTCCCGTATCACCTTGTTTAGTGAGTGTCCCCACTATCCACCTTTGCCAGAAACCTGATGTTCACCCTTCTGCTCATTCACCCCCACATACCTCTAATCATCTCTAAGTCCTTAAGAGTTCACCCCCTAATACTGAATTCCTGTCCTCCTCTCTGCCCTCATGGGCGCTGCCTTAATTCTAGCCTTCACCTTGTGTCACCTGGGCTCTACGATCAATTTCAAACAGTCTGCCTCCCTCTCGATTTACGGGGAGCTTTCTGAAATGCAAATCTGATGATGTCACTCCCCTGCTTGAACTCATTCAATGGCACTCCATAACTTTCATGATCAAGTTCGCCTTCCTCAGCTCTATACACATGACACATTCGAGGTCTGTACTCCCCCATCTCACTGGCCTCGTTTCCTGCCATCGTACCACAGTTTCTACGATCGTCTTGCATCCCCTTTCCTTTTCCCAAGATACATTTCTTCCTTTTTTTAGGCCCCATATTCTGGGAGACCTACCCAGATCCCCTCCCCATCCAGCCCTTCACCCCGGCCCTGCCTCTCCTCTTGCCATAGCATCCTGAGACTACTTCTTTGATGACACTTATCAAATTGGACTTCGCTTGCCCCACCAGACTCTGAGCTCTGTGGGAACAGGCTCTGCAATGCAGGTTTTTGTATCCTCAGAAGCTCACAAGTTACTTACTGAATAAATTAAAATATTTTGTTACATAGATGCACATACAGGTATATTCGTACGTATGTTCGTACGTGCACGTGTGCGTGCACGCAGCGCATTTGGAGGCAGAAAGGGACAAGGGGTTAACATTTTGAGCACTTACAATATGCCCGGGCCGTGCTATCTACTTTGATTTCGTAGCTAGCAGGTAGGTGGAAGAGTTGTGATTTGAGCTTAGGCTTATCTCATTCCTAACTCTGAAACTTTCCATCTCCCCAGACTGCCTCCTCAGCTACGGGAAAGGGACATGCAGGCAGAGAAAGCGAGATGCCATATTACAAGGGTTCAGTTGGGAGCCCTA